TGGGAGGCATTAAGAAAGCCGAATAAAACCAATGCTGGAAAGAAAACAGTCAAGTACTAGAATTGAAGACTGGAAGTCTGGATGCCTCTGGAGCTGTCATGTGAACCAAGACCAGGAGAGAGCTCTTGTGAAAATTTCCCAGATCACTTCAATGAGCGGCGGAGATAACGGACTGTTCATCGAAGGATACATGAATAAGCATCTTTGTAAGATCATCATCGATACAGGAGCAAATGTAACCATCATCAGAATAGATATTAGCTCAGAAATTGAATGAAACGTTGCGATGGGCTCTGCCCTGTGTCACATTATACACATTGACTGTAGATAAGATCCCAATTGAAGGTAAAATTAACATCACCATTACCTTTATAAATGAGACTTAACAGCACTTGGCTTTTGTCGATAACATCGTAGATAAATTAATACTCGGACTGGACTTTTTGTAAAAGTATGACTTTACACTTTGGATTCGTATGGTTCTTAAGAGTCTTTAAAAGTCCTTAGATTTTTTTGGAATCAATTTGTGGTCCTTTAAAAGTCCTTAATTTTGGACAAAATCAGCAGAAGGTCCTTAATTTTAATCATCTGAAATTTCTGTCTGTTTTTCTATTTTGAGTGTGAATTAGCATTTTGGAGGAATATTTTTGGCGATTCACAGACATATATGGTTATCTTTTGAATGAGTTCATGGGTTACAATTTATTTCTATTTCTAATACAAATGGTGAGATACTTGAGTTTCTGGGCAAGAAGTGAAACATAAGCATTTCGAAATTCATTTTTGTAATAGAGCTCTAATAAACAACTTTTCACTTTTGGAAATGTGAATTATTTTATTAAACGTTCTAAATTTGGCGGCTTATCAACATTTTGTTGATTTTAAGATCTGTTTCTATAAAAAAAATTTAATTCCGAGATCTGAGAATTTTTCGACGAATTTTTTTAAAACATCGTAACATTGATAAATTTCATTAAAATAATGGTACTATATGGAAATTATATTTAAAAAATAGCGTTAAAATAAAACATTTTTATTTTTCGCTGTCGTATTATAAAGTTTCCTTTTGGTAAATTATACAATATTTTGAATCTGAAAAATAAACAAGGTATAATATTATAGAGCACAATTTAAGAAACAGCTCATAGCAAAAGCAACATTAGCTATGTCATTAATTAAAAATGTCTTCTTTTTAATTTTTTCATAGTAAGAGTTTTTCCCATGTAATTGTCTCAGAATATGCATCAAGGCCCACCAGCGGCCGAGCGGTAAAGACGCTGAACACTGGTAGTTTGGTCCGAGGTTCGAATCCTGCGAACAGGCTGGCTGCATGAGTGTTTTCATGGTTTTCCCCATGTATAACGTGTATACGAGCCAGTTTCTCTTAGAAAGTCCTGCACAAAGGCATCCCTCCCTTTAGGCAGATAACCCTCGTGTGCTTTGCCATAATTGAATAATCCAATCCAATCCAGAATATGCATCAATTTTCTCTGTCAAATTAATTTTAATCTTTTTTCCTAAATATTTCTGGTTTTTTGCTGTTACAGAATTGGTAGGTATAATTTTTCTTTAGGATTTCAGACATTGCAGCTTGGGAAGTTTAGAATCATTTGAAGGCAAGATTTATAGACACACGGTTCTAGAAGATTAGAGAAAGATGTGACAAAATGAAAATGTCTCCATGGTATTAAAACGTAATGGATGTATTTTACAGAAAGTTTGCGAGGAATTTCTTACTTTTTGGAGAACATCTGGAAGAAAAATGAAAACATAATATTTGAATTTTTTAACTTCTGACGCCAGAATCTTTTTTATAACATGTTTATCTTCCCTTTATTTTCTCTACTTTTCACTAGACACAAGCATGGGAAATATCAAAAATATTTCTAATCTTATGAATGGGCAGGCATTATATAAAGGGATTTTTTTATTAATAAAGAAATTGAAAATTTACAATTTAAAAGATTTATCTATTATGTCTTAACCCGCGGGAAAGCGCATGAGGTTTATCATACTCAACCCTATGTAAAAGTGGAATATTCCTAACTTTTGAAACTGAAATTCTGTGCTGCTTTCAGTAGCTGAGTTTCTAGTTGTGGTTGACTTTCAGAACCGCTTTTTCTTTGCCTGTGTGTTTCAGAAAAAGATTTATCGGTATTTTGTTGGAACTGGGGTATGACACATCCCACGCACCTGTTCGTGTAAGTGTTTTTCTGACTGAATATTTAGTTCAGAAATTTATTTCTAGAGTGTAACAGTAAATATTTCTACTCGCAAGTGATTTTAAAGTACTTACTTGACATTAAATTCTTAAAATTCTAAAACTGCATTATGGTAAAAAGAATGAGTCCCTATGAATTGGAGATGCAACACATGTGAGATTTATTAGAAATATTTGAAAGCGATGAAGATTGCATTTCGGAAACTGAAGATGAAACTAAGAATATTTTCTACAATGTTTTGGTTTGGAAAAAAATAAAACATTAATTCCTGATGTTCCTAAAAAAAGAAAAACTGTTCTTATGTTTTCAACATTATATAACGATCATATTATAGATGACACTATTGGAGAAAATAAAACATCAGGAGTTATATGTTTTAATAATATGACTAAAGGAGCAGTGGATATGGGGCATGAAATGTCGGCCAATTATTCAATTTCCAGAATAACAAGTAGGTGGCCAATGGTAATTTTTTTCCTGCACTGAATGTTGCTGTAATAAATGCTTGAATTATATTACATTCAACTGCTAATCCACCAACCAGAAACAGAAGTCTGTTTTTGAAGGACTTAGCATTTAATGAAAAAGTATTGAACAAAGATCAGAGATTAATACTTTTCCAAGAAATTGACGTACTGCATGCAAAACAAAAGCAGAAGTTTCGACAAAGAATTAAAATGAATACATGAAATTCGAAACAACTAAGTATGAAAGATGTGATAAATTTTTTTGCCCTCGCGCAAGGACAGAAGAACGTGAATGCAATGTTTAAAATGTGAAAACATTCTGTGCCAAGAACGCAATGAATGTATTTCGTTCAAAGTGTGAAGAAATAAGAATAAGCATTGGTGTATTAGAGATGCACAATGAAACTTAGAGGCATGATGTTTATTTTTTTATTATTTTCATTTATCTTAATTTTAACTCTAAGATTATTTCGGAAATTAATTTTTTGAAACCCAATTATTATTCATTTATTTATAATACACAAGAACAAAAAAAAAAAAAAAAGTTTTAAAACTAAATAATACTATTTTTTATTGTATTTTAAATATTGGGGTATGTGATACCCCACGCGCCTACTCTAGTAACTTTTCTTGGTGCGACTTCCGCCGGGTTAATGCATCATACACAGAGCTGGCACTAGGCATTTTCCCACCTGATGATGCAATCTCTGTAGATCTTAAATTCTACTGCTTAGTGCCCTTCTAAATACTGCTTCCAGTGCCTGCTCAAAATTATAAAAGTTTTGCCATTTCTAGATTTTGTTGTTTTGGTGTGTCAGTAAATTCTAAAAATTCTGCCACACCAGCTCTGTAACCAGCCTGTACCATATATATTTCTTCTGAATGTTCATATTACTAAAAAAAAATTAGCAGCTTTTTCTATGCATTTAGTGTTTTTTAGAATAATATAAATCCTTAATTAATTCCAAAGATTCTAAAATGGAAAGGAAACGTGTTGAAGAAAGAAACTGAATACATAAAGAAAATTATTCTTCAAAGATATGTGCAGTTATTATTATGTAAATTACTCAATTGTTTATGATTTCAGCCTTAACTATAATTTCCCATTTCTATTTCCTCACATGATAGAGTTACTGAGCCAGGTTAAATTAAAATTAAATTGCATAATCTTTGACCTCCAGTCCACATTTTTAGTTTGAATTTTACTGTTCTTGTTTAATTACATCACAGTGATCTGTAATTGATTTTGTCAGCATCAGAACATGCCTTTATGTTCTAAGTTCTTTTTAAATAAGAGGCTTATTTAAACCTTTGTCTGATATTGTAGTTACTTTCAAGCATAACAATAATTTGCTTCATGCCTGTCGGGGAAGGGGGTTGGCCTATTTAACTTTTACCAGATCAAGTAAACCATCATAGGTATACATTATGGAGAGGTTGGCAAGTTAGAAGATAAAGCACGCCGAAACTAGTGAGAGCATTGAGTTTTGCATGTTGAGACAAATCTCTAATTGTTAGAAATGATGCTTAAAGAGAAGGAAATCAATATAAACTAGCCAAAATGTTTTGGAAGGCTTCAAATTAAAGGAACAGATTATTCTTTATTTGGTTGCATAATCAACAGATACAAATTACGGATGTAGTATATAAAGGACTTAAAATGCTCATTATAAATTTTCATGTTGTGTTGGCATTGTTTATGTTAAAAAAAATCATATGTGCAGACTTTTCATAATGCCAGGATCCCATGCTTTTGAAATTACATCCTTGCATGCTGCTTTGTAGAAGGAAGGTCTCGAATTTTAATCATTTGTCAAAATGCATGGGAAAAACAAATAAATAGCAGTTAACTTATATCCTTCTTTACAAAAACTCAAACCACTTATTGAGAACTAAATTGGTTTACATGAAATCGTGTTGAAGACCTTATGATTGTGTTGTGACCTCCTATTTATCCATTGTTGCCATTAAATCATACTGTTTAGTAACAGTGTCCTCTATGTGCTTGCTTACTTTTTTGTGAAGGGAGGGATTTCCTTTCATGAATTTCACATTGGTAAATATATATTTTTGACTCCCAAAATATTTTCAGAGTACAAAATTTTCTGTTGAAAACTATAACAGAAAAGTCAAGAATTAATACCGAGTTTATATGTTTGATGTATGTCTGTTATTCTTTTTTTTTTTTTTTTTCAAAATTAAAATTTTTGAGAAGGAAGTTTCTAAATACTTATTAATGGAGGATATGTATGAATAATGCTTTCTATTTTGATTTTGTATCTAGTCATGATTAATTTTTTTTTTCTTGCAGACTTTAGAATTGCATAAAAAACAATTTCAATGGCTGATATTGAGAATAAAGTTCCAAAAAAAGGTAAATAAGCAGTTTTATTTTATGGTCTATGTCTAAATATATTTTATCAGTGGTAATATGTAATCAAAGTATTTTTTGTTTCTATTTCAGATGTCAAAAAACGAATGGTAAAAGCTCTATATAGCTACACACCTGAAAATATAGATGAATTGGAACTAAAAGTGAATGATATTTTAGAAGTAATTGAGGAAACGGAAGAAGGATGGTGGAAAGGAATTCTAGATGGAAATGTAGGAATGTTTCCATCTAATTTTGTTATTGAATTAGATGGTCTTCCTGAAGAATTCAATAATCAATTTATGAATGAACTAAGTCCTACAAAAAATGCATCAAAAGTAAAAAATGTGGGCCATCAAGAACCTTTGCATAGGCACGGTAAGTTTTTTTTTTTTTTTTGAATTTGTTGCCAGAAATGAGATATTGGCAAAATATTTCAACAAGCATATCACTGTTTGATTTACATTATAAATATTGATTAAATGATATACATGAAGGAAACCCTGTGAGCAAACTGTTCTGAGTGATGCATCAAGCAGAGGTTTTATTGATTACTTTTATTGCTGGCAAAATTTGCAAATTTCAGGCATGTAGGTGCCTTTCCTCTTTCAAGCATTACCCTTTATTGCATATAACAAATAAATTATGTGTTGTCATGTAGTTATAAATTATTTAGCTGTATATTTCTGATGTCTAAGTCAAGTAACATCTAAACATTATTTCACATCATGTAGCATCAGGTGTGAAAAAATAAGCAATCCTTCAACTTTCCTATTGGTGGACTATGTGGGTCATGAGGATATTGCCCTACAATTGCTAGACAACAGCAGGGACTGCATTCATAATATTTTAACTCTCTGGACATTTTCAGGGAGTAAGTGAGCCACAAGTCACAAAATCTTTATTGAAAATTGAACGTAAGAAAGGATATAGAAATCAGTACAATACTATCCAGCCATGTGTTATTCAACCTGGAATATACAAGTTGGGTGCCAAAATTGAAATCCGTTACTGGTACCAAACCTCAAAAACTGTGTTTATTCCTTAAGGTTGTATGCACTTGATTGGAAAGGTGGACATTGTTTGTTGAGCTGTACTTAAACGAATTAACCATGTTCTATTTGCTAAACTGTATATAACAAAATTGTTCTGCTTTTTAACCTTTTAATGTACTTAACTGAGTTAATTCAGGTATACCAAAATAAATTATTTCTATGCACCCGAGTAAATATGTTTAAATTTCCGACCCCCCCTTGTATGAATATGTCCGCTACAAAATTATTAATTTTAATTAAAAATTAATAAAAAAATACTGGCAAAGAACTCTTTCTGAATATTTATTGGTGCACTAAGAGTTTAATTATATATATATATATATATATATATATATATATATATGTTACCGGCAAAGTATGAAATCCGGCATTCTATGGAATGCTTAGGCATTCTATATAATGCCTAAAACTAGTCGGCAAAGTATGAAATGCATTTCTGATTCATTTCCAAAAACTGAAACTACTTATCAGAAAATAGTAAATGACATAAAAAAGCCAAAATGACTACTAAAAAGGAACCACAGGGCTATTGGCCGCTGAATCGCTAGAATGAGATGTTTGTGGAAAACAAAAGTGCATTCATTTACCCTGTTAAAGAAAGCGTTACTACTATACAGTATTATGTCACGGACGCTGAGTTATTTTCCTTATTTCATGAAAAACTCATTTGAGTACTGCACAGGAATGACGTGACAGAATGTCGAAAGAACTTTCAACCAATTACAAAAACGTAGCACGTAACGATATTGAACTGTAACAACCACCTTTGTGAGCTCTGCCAGAAAAAACAAAAAGGTATTAAAAAAAGGGCACTGATGTGAAACTTATGATTGTTTCTGAATTTAACTTCCGTTGTCAAGTAGATATTACCAATTCCCAGATAGAATATGCAAATTTATTATGTTGTATCAAGATCACCTATCATTTTATTTTTACATATTTCGAAAAACAGTTTTTAATGGCACTCTTTCATTAATTTTTCAAAATAACATTTATATTTTAGAGGAATGAATGTCTTTTAAATAATAGCCTTATCATAACCTTTTTTTCATACTCTGCCTAAAATGCATTTGACAATCTATAGAATGCCTAGGTATTATATACAATGCCTAGGTAAAGTATGCAATAATTCTCTTATTTCATTCTTTGCCTAAAATCGTCTGCCATTATATCAATGCCTACGCATTCTATAGAATGCCGGCATTTCATACTTTGCTGGTAACATATATATATTAACTTTTCTATTTATTAAACTATATAAAAATAACTTTGTTCAGTGATACCAAAAAAAATAATAATAATAAAACCATGTTGTATTTGTTAAGTTACATTAAAAAATTAAATGGTATTTAAAAATATCATCATATTTTACATTGATATAGCTATATTGTTTTAGGTGCTAATCATTCGCCAGTAAACAAACAAGAAAAATCGGCAAATACCCAAGCTATTAATTCTAATTCTGAAGATGTAAATGATGGATTAAATTATTCTAAATCTGCTCCAGACTCAAATGAAAAAAAGGTATCTTTTATTTCTTTTAAATTTGTACATGTTGTATATAATAAAGTATGTCAGTTTTAAATCCTGCTCTCCATATCCGTGATCTAAGTAATGTACCTCATAAATGTCTAATTTATTGCATATAGGCTCCCTTTGGTAAATGAAAGTTCCCTTAATGATGATTTGATATTTTTTTAAGACCTATGTTAATGTCTTTTTGAGTGTGAGAAAGAGGATTTTTTGCTTTTAGAGTATAAGGGAAAGAGGGAAGATACCCATATTTTTTATCTAATAATTGAAAAAATGGAAGACTTTAATCAGGATGAGCACATGGGTATAGGGCAGTATAACAACATAATTTAATTGTCTGCGCAAAACTGATGATGGTAAGTATATCATTACACTGAAAACCCAGTTAACTGGGTTAATATGGGGGGTCTATGGTTAAACTAAATTCTCAGTTAATCTGAAGAAATTTAAAAAAAAAGTATTATAATTAACAGAAGAATACTATATGTTAACAATATACACATGTTTTCAAGCACTTTAATCTGGAGAAAAATTAATTTGGTTTTATAAATTAAGTCGCCATTCAAAGTTATCTGCATCTGTTGAGCATGTAAACATCTCTGTCTTTCCTTTCCTATCTTAGTCTATGTTTTTTCCTTTCTTTTATGAATGTTCTTTATTTTATTTACATAAATCTTTTTCAATAAGAGTCAATGAGAAACAAAAGATTAGTTAACTGTCCGTTTTATTTACTTTTAATGGATGAATTTATTTCCAAATATTATGACATTATATACTATTGGCCCATGGGCTTTTCTGTTTTCTATAGGCAGTTTATTTTTATGCTGATAGTTCGTGGTACAGTCAAAAGTCTTTAATCCGGACTCGTCGGGACTTCGACGATTCTGGATTATCGATTTTCCCGGATTATAGATCATCAGTTTAAATCTGGTAAGATGGCATGCAGAAATTATAAAATTAAAAATATGAAACCGTAATTTATAAAATAATGAGCAATTATGATCTAAAGGGTATCAAAATTTACAAAAAAAGAAGCTTAATATTTATTTGTTTACTTTATTAAACATTTCTTCCAACGTGCGCATGCGTAAAGCATACATTACGCATAGCCAAAATTAGAAAATTGCAACCAGAAAACTATTTGATTTGTATTCGTGATATTTATAATGACGAGGAATTTGATTTAAATCATATCAAAGACGGAGTACATCGAGATAAAATACTACATTTAGTAAGGAATTATAAGCCGAATAAAATAAAAACATCTGCCCTGAAGATAAGGATAGTGCTGATAGATCAACTTCCAGTTCGTTGCATGCCGCGACATTCTCCCCCCCCCACCACCACACACACAGAGCAGCGTGAAATTAATAAACCGATTTCGGAATGGTTAGAGAAACAAAGGATATGCCTTTATCCCTTTTTTTTAGAGCAATTCCACTTTTTGTTTGATGGACATCGAAACATACTTTCGCTTTGCAGATTCTTTGGCAGCTCCAGCATAGGAAATTCTATTTGACATAATCGAAAGTTCAAGCTTACTTTTAGAAAATTGCTCTAACAGTCTGCAAAAAATAATAAGCCGGATCCAATTCGAAGATTAAGGAACAACGCAATCTGCAATATTAACTGAAATAGATAATTAGATAATTTTAGCTTAACTTATACAGTCCGTTATACGTTAAACGCGAACGCGAAAACGTATTCTGCGCTTGCGCAGACGCATATGCGCAGTCGTAAAGGTCTTGCATGCACGCGTAAACGCCTATGCGCATGCGTCAACGCTGCGCATGCGCAGAAAGATTTTAGCTTTGAGGTCCGGATTATGGGTGTCGAAATTAACGACTTTTGACTGTAGTAGTTTTCCCATTATTTCACAATAAACAACTTTTTTTTTTTTTTTCAGATAATATTGATGTGCATAAGAGAATTAAATCTGTAATCAAGAATTGACTATTAACTTTATTCAGACCTATTATCATATCTTAAGGCTTTTCCCTGAACCAGAGCCAACAATGAATGTCAGTTTTAGTCTTTTATGGTAGCTATGGAATTTTGCCAAATTCATACAGCATTTGAGTATTTGAAATATACTTAGTTGCATCTATATTTATTCAGGAAAAATATTTTGCTGACTCACCTGAAACAGACTTAAGTGACAGTTGATAAGACTTGATAGATCTTTTCCTTCTACAGAACATTTAGATTTTTTTTTTTTTTTTTTTTTTTTTTTTTGGATAAGTGATATTCTCACTTCCTTTAGTTTGCATTATCAGCATAGTGTTGAATTTTTAAAAGCAAGTGTGATATCATCCCTTCTTCATCCACCGCCTCATAGAGAAATAACTCCACTTTCTTGTATTTTAAACATTTATTTTACAAACACAAAACTAATACTAAACTACAATACTAATAACTGAAATATATATAAAGTAATAAAAGTGAATTTCGGTTTCATTAATGGCTCCCACGAGCCTTCCGTATGACCTCTTTGTCGGTCTCCCTCTTGGAAACTAAACTTTTGCGCCTCTCCAGACTGAGAGTTAGCGCCCTCTATACATCTCGTTGGTTGACGTCACCCATACATCACACCCCCCATCCAAGATTGAAATAGGGTGAAAGCCTATTGAAATATGACAAATTATGGTGACGTCAAACAAAAGAGTTACTTACCTACTAAAGTCTACAAATCAATCGATACTGAAGTTGAAAGATATGTAACACAATACTTATACAGGTTAGTTCTACTACCTACTACAAGACTTCTTCTAAAACTGTAATATATAAATGATTAAAATTAGTATTCAAACAATTCTAATGCAATAGAATACTTAAAGCGTCTATGATATACTTAAAAGTCTCTAGGAGAGTAGCTGAAAAAGAAACACATAAAAAAATAATAATATTAAGAGTTCATAAATGTCTGTGAAAAGTTCTTTCTTTTACACAAGTCACTCAATAGTCTCTAGTCTGGACAACGCATCAGCATTGCTTAACTTAACACCTGGGCAATGTGAAATTGTAGTATCATACTTTTGTAATGCTAAAGCCCATCTCTGTAACTTAGAAGATTGTGGTGCGTTCTTTGTGATGAAAGTTAACGGATTGTGATCAGTTATCAGTTCCACAGGTGATCCAAAAATCCAAGTTTTCAAAACTTTTTCAATCTCCAAATAACAGCATAAGCTTCCCTCTCGATAGTTGGCCATGCTTGTTGTGTTTTGGTAAGTTTTCTGGCTGGCGTAACTAATCGGGTACAACTTTCCGTTTTTCCTTTGAGATAAGCAGGCTCCAACACCTGTTGAAGATGCATCACATTGATTATAAAAGATAACCCTGGAACAGGGTATAAAGACTAGGTGCTTCCATTAGGCATTTCTTTAATTTAATGAATGCTTCGTCGTGTTTTTTCTGTCCAGTACAGCTCTTTCAGGACTTCTCTTTTGGTGAGCTCGGTTAATGGATAAGCTAAGCTGTTTCGGCATAATGTGGAATGTAGTCTCTGTAATAATTACATAGGCCTAGAATGCTTTTCAATTGTTTTTTTTTGTTTGAGGTCTAGCTAATTTCTGGATAGCCTCCACTTTCTCTGGATCTGTACGATGACTGCCGGAACCGATGATATGTCCTAGATACTTAATATGAGTTTTAGCGAAGGAACATTTCTTGAGATTTACGGAAAACTGTAGTTCCAACAGTTTTGAAAAAATGGTGTCAAGATGTACTAAATGTTCATTCCAATTATTTGAATAAACAGCTATGTTATCGACGTAGGCTCGAGCAAAATCTTTGTATTTAGCAAGGGCCTGATTCATGACTCTCTGAAATGTTGCAGCGGCGTTGCGTAGCCCGAAAGGCATGACTTTAAATTGATACTGAGCTCGATGTGTCTTGAAACATGCTAATTCTTGACTCTCTCTTTCTAATGGTATGGCCCAATAGCCTTTGAGTAAATCAATGCTGGATATCACTTTGGCTTTTCCAATGTAGAATAAGAGCTCTTTAGGATTTTCCATAGGGAAGTCATCTGGTTTCGTTACTGCATTAAGGGATCTAAAATCAACGCAAAGGCGAATATTACTGTTTTTCTTCATAACGCATACAATAGGGTACGAAATTTCAGCGTTGGTTTCTTCAATCAATCCTATTGACAACATTTCTTCCGATTTATTTATCTACTTGAGGCTTCAATGCTTCTGGAATTCGATAAACATATGGCTTCTTCTTCCTTTCAATTGTCATTTAATCTTATTTTATGTTCTCCTACTTTGGCAATTTTGTACCTTATTTATAAATAAGTTTTCATATTTTCTTAACAAGTTCAGTTCATGTCCATTTCATTCTTTTATCATCATCTAAATGGCTTAAGTCTACTTCGCTAAGATGAAAATGATCGGACTTGTCACTCACACTGGGTGTAGGATGGACTTCTCCTAGTTCTTTCTTCGTTCTCAAATATTACACCTACTGCCTGTACTTTTGGATTAAATTTTCGAACTTTATTTACGTGTACTCTTCTTATTGTACCATCTGTCAGTCTGACTCTGTAAGAATCTGCACATTACAACGAGATAACTATTATCTGCAGGTCCTATCCATCTGGCATATAATTTATTACTGGAATCTGGAATCAGCAGGTACACTTGATCTCCAGGGTTGAATTCTTTATATATCAGCCCTTCGATTAGCATATCTTGCATATGCACCTTGTTTCAATTCTGCAGTTATAGATGCTTGCTCTGCTGCTATGTTCTAAATTCATTCTTTAGCTCCTGTAGATAATCAACAGCACTTTTACACCAATTTATTGGTAATGGAATTTCTCCTGACCATGACGATTTTAATACTGACAACGGACCTCTAGCCTCTCTTCCATACATTAATTTAAATGGGGATACTCCCGTAGTACAATTTGGAATTTCTTGCGGTAAGCGAATAACAGGTATGGTATATGTTTGTCCCAATTTATTAGAGTCGTTTTCTAATGATATGATGAAGCATACATTTTAGAACTTGATTGTATACCGTTCAACTAACTAATCCCGAACTTTGTGGATGTCCTGGTGTTGCAAATCTAGGACTTGCTCCTAATCTGGCATGGAAATTCTTGTGTTAATTTCTGCAACAAAATTGGTACCTTGATCGCTAGCTATTACCCGAGGTATGCCGTTCTCATAAAGATTTCTAATAATGCGTCACATGTTGATTTTGCTGTAATTAGTTCTCAAAGGGACAGCTTCTGGCCACCTAGAATGTTGGTCGACTAAACAGAGTACATATTTGTGGTTTACATGCTGATGGAGGTTCAATTGGACCGATTATATCTACATTCACTGTGTCAAATGGAAATTCAGGCTTCTGAACTGGAACTATGGGTATACGATCGTTAGTTCTTTCTCTACTTTGTAATTGACATTCCTTACAAGTTTTTTACAATATTCTTCAATATCTCGTGACATGTTTGGCCAATAAAATGAATAACGAATACTTTCTTTTGTTTTTCTCATCCCTAAATGATTTGCAAAAATAGATTCGTGAGCCAATTTTAAAATTTGTTCCCTTCTAACTTTAGGTAATACCAATTGACTAACTTGTTCTCCGGAAATTCTTTCAGTATGATAAATCAAGTCATCCATTAAAAAATATTTATTTTTATTTCTTTGCGCGTTTTTATAGATACAGCGTAATGTCTCACATTCCCTTTGCTGTTGTTTAAAAATACTGGCATCTGAATGTTGACCCACCCCACTTTCGTTTTCGCCCTGAATGCAACTTATGACTAAATCTTGCTCTCCTCCTGTCATAAATAAATCAGCGCGGCTTTCGACTTCGAATTGTTTTGACTGATGACTCCTCGTTTCCGGTATCTGCGATGGAGGCGCTGTGTCGCAATCACGATTTGGGTAAGCAGATGAGATTCAGAGGTCAATAAATCATAAACATTTGGAGTAATTACGCAGGGAATATGAAGTTTTTCTGTTAAAGCTACTAATATTTCGACAGGTTTCAATAAATTAGGATTATCAGTATTTTTGATGGATAGAGGAATTCTAGCCACTTTAGCTGATATGGTTTCTCCGAATGCAGAAATTAAGTCAATATTACAGTTGTTCTCAATAGAGAAATTTGATATGTGTTTCGGATTGTATAACAGAAATTTCGGCACTCTGAATCAATTATGGCTTGGATTTTCGTTACCTGCAACGCAAATATTTACCTTTTTGCAATGGTTTGCGTAAAACTTTCATTTGACAAGCATGAAGATCCGATTTTTGCTATTACTTTATCACTAGTATTTTTCTCTGTGGTTTCTCTTTTTTTAAAGGAGGGTTTTGCTTTGTTACCGATTTGTTTCTTTGTGGACAAGATTTAGCGAGATGCGTTAATTTTCCACATATGTAACAGTCTTTTGGGTGGATATTTATTTTTATTTATGCTTGCTTCTCATATGAGGCGGAATATATTTCGATTCTCTTGAAGAGTGGGACGATTTAGCTATGTTTTCGTTAGTGTTAAAAGTGGATTTCGTTTAACGATTTGCCTTTGTTTACAAAATACAAGTCAACTTCTTTAGCTAAATCCTTAGGTTTTAACCAATTTTCTCCGGTTTTAATATTAATGTAAGTTGCCGTTTCTTTGTCTAACATTTGGAAAAGTTTGTCGGAAATCATTAGTTGACAAAGTGTATCAAAGTTATTAACTTCACGTAACTGACAGTAATACTGGAAATTTGCAGACAGTCTAGAAGCGAACTGAACATGTGACTCTTTAGGATCGCGTCGTGCTCTTCGGAAATTCATTAAACATTCATAAGCAGTTGGCTGATATTCTTTTAATACTAGTTTTTTAATGGTTTCATAACATTTTAGTTTTTCATCATTAGTGTAAAATAATATATTAGTTGCCTTATCCCCTAAAATGTTAATCAAAATTTCGGATTTGAGCTCCTGTGGTACATTTTTAGTTATGAATGCTCTCTCTAATGTTTGAAAAAACAAATTGAAATTTCTGATCTTCCCGGAACTGGAATAGTTAACATTTTAACACTCTTTATCAAATTTTCTAAATAATTTTCCGAACCTGTAATCATGTCTTTATCTGCACGAGATCCATCTTTAACTGTATTCTGACTTCTAACTTTTTCTAATTCTAATTCTTTCTCTAGCTGCGCTAATTTTAATTTTTCAAGTTCAACCTTTTGAGCTTCTAAGGCTAACTGTGTATCCCTAGCTTTTATTTCATTTTCTTCTCTAATTTTTCTTTCCTCAACTATTTTTTTCTTTTTCTTTCTCAACTATTGAGTTTAATAATCCAATTACAAATTCTGGATCATCTTTAAATATTTTACTGTCCTCAATTTTACCTTTTAATTGAACCACTGTTAAACCAACAGTTGGTGTATCTTCAATTTCACCAAGAAGGTTTACTAAAGTCTTCTTTCTTAGTATTCTTATACATTTTTAATTTATATATATCTTACATACATACATATATATATATATATCTTCAATACATCTATACTTTGAGTAAAATAAAATCAAAAGCTTCCTTCCTGCTTCTCTTAAAGTTTCTCTACCATCATCTAAAGCTCTGGTTCTCATAAGAGAGCGTGTAATATCACCCCTTTCTTCATCCACCGCCTCATAGAGAAATAACTCCAACCTTTTTGTATTTTGAACATTTATTGCACAAACACAAAACTAATACTAAACTACAATACTAATAACTGAAATATATATAAAGTAATAAAAGTGAATTTCGGTTTCATTAATGGCTCCCACGAGCCTTCCGTATGACCTCTTTGTCGGTCTCCTTCTTGGAAACTAAACCTTTTGCGCCTTTCCAGACTGAGAGTTAGCGCCCTCTATACATCTCGTTGGTTGGCGTCACCCATACATCACAGCAAGTATGACATTTTTATGTATGTAACTGTTTAATAAGTTATTAAAAAATGAGTTTTTACTTACATAATTTTACAAAATGAAATTTCAGTCTGTTATGTTTTTACCTGATTGTTCATAGTTGCAGCTGTAATAAATTTCATGTGGTAAATCGGAATTAAAAATATATATTTTTAAAACTGTTATTTATAATAAATTCTATGATTTTTGTTTTTATTTCTTAACCTTCTCATTTGTGATTGTTTATTATTCATTTATAGATTATTACAATAAATAAAAAATCATTGCCTGATTCTCCTGCCCCTCGGCTTCCTCCAAAACCAGGTTAGTGTTGTGACATATTTGATCTCCTTTTACATAATGCTATAGGATTGTTACAAATATATATATATATATATATAATCAGTAATGTATTTAAAAAAAAAATATCATGAAAGATATTGGGTTGGAACTTGAAGTTATGTATGTGCAAATATAGGCTTTTCTCCAGCATTCCTTGTAGTGATGTAGGTAATCACTGTTATACCATGCAAAGAAATAAGCAGTCATCACAAAACAGATTGCATCATATGATTCAGTAGGCTATAATTGCTGTGGAGAAGCCATGTTTGTTTTTTAGGATTTAGCAAAATCTCGAATATCTTAAGGAGGAAAATGGTGATTACTCAAAAGTTACATTGTGTAGTATTTAATGAAATTGACCCACAGTATACAAGACATAATAAGGTATAAAATAACGTGAAAAGGAATTACTGGACAGTTACGGTATTATAGAAATTTAGCATATGTATATAGAATGAACAAATTGATTGTGTCAGTTTGGTGTAGGAAAATTACCTTCAATATGAAATATGTTGAGTAAAACTAAAGCAGTTGGAATATGTCATCTGCAAAGATCATAAAGTTGCATATTTGTGAGGAAGCTTACAAATTTTGCTGTGATACTGAGATAAGAAATCTGGAATAGCCAGTTTGTAACAATGACTACATGAAGAACTGCGATGGAGAGCCATTAAAAGATTAGAAACAGAACAAAGTCAGACAGAAGTGGCCACTTGAAATGTGAATCTTTCTGTGGTTATGAAGGTCGTTGGTCATTGCTACAAACTGGCTATCCCAGATTTCTTATCTCAGTATCACAACAAAATTTGCAGACTTGTTCTTAAACATGCCTATACCAAACCCCGATGGATCCCATTTGTTCATTTTATACATATGCTAATATCTATAATACCATAATAGTCTGATAATTTCTTTTTATGTTATTTTATACCTTTTCACCGTTACTAAAAGATCATTCTCCTTCCTTTCAAAAACTTGAAGGATACCTATACATTTGCTTAGATTTTAATTATTTTTAACATGCTTTTTTAAAATTAAACAACAAAAGATGTAGGATATGTTGATAAATAACAAAAACTTGAATAAAAGTATTTTCCTATATTCATGCACTAAAATTAAATACTTAACAGTTAAATAAAAGGCTAACTTCTGCCCTAGAGAGAACTCCTGCCTTTGAAAGCCATCCAAAAGGGCATTCCTGCCCCCTGAGGCAGGTAGGCTTTGCTTTGCCATAATCGAAAAACCCAACCAAACCATGAAATCCTGGGGGGGGGATTTGTATTCAAATGCACATACTTCTTCAGATTTCATTATAGTATCTTTTGCTGGTCGTCTGTCATTTTTTTTATTATTATTATTGAAATTGTGTAGTAATCATGTATAAATTCGGGAGAAGTTGGTTGTAGGATTATTTTGAGTGAACAAACCATGCTTGATTTATCTGTACAAAGATAATATACAGTCAAAAGTCTTTAATCCGGACTCGTTGGGACTTCGGCAATTCAGGATTATCGATTTTTCCGTATTATAGATCATCAGTTTAAATCTGGTATAATGGCATGCAGAAATTATAAAATTAAAAATATGAAAACGTAATTTATGAAATAAAGAACAATTATGATCTGAAAGGTATCAAAGTTTACAAAAAAAAAGCTTGATATTTATTTTACCTTATTAAACATTTCTTTCAATGTAAGTTGTTTAAGTTGCTTCGTTTTATGTGATAATACTTTCTCTTTAATTCTATAAACAGACATAATTTCTTGTTCAGCTTCAAAGTTCCGCTGTTCAAGTCCTATAATTGCTGTGTCGAGAATACCGATTAATTTGCCAATCGATTTTTTTAGTTTTCAATAACCTCTGTGTCACTTTCTTCAGTATTGGAAGCGAATTATAATGACGAGGAATTTGATTTAAATCATATCAAAGATGGTGTACATCGAGATGAAATACTACATTTAGTAAGGAATTATAAGCCAAATAAAATAAAAACATCTGCCCTGAAGATAAGGATAGTGCTGATAGATCAACTTCCAGTTCGTTGCATGCCGCGACATTCTCCCCCCCCCCACCACACACACAGAGCAGCGTGAAATTAATAAACCGATTTCGGAATGGTTAGAGAAACAAAGGATATGCCTTTATCCCTTTTTTTTAGAGCAATTCCACTTTTTGTTTGATGGACATCGAAACATACTTTCGCTTTGCAGATTCTTTGGCAGCTCCAGCATCGGAAATTCTATTTGACATAATCGAAAGTTCAAGCTTACTTTTAGAAAATTGCTCTAACAGTCTGCAAAAAATAATAAGCCGGATCCAATTCGAAGATTAAGGAACAACGCAATCTGCAATATCAACTGAAATAGATAATTAGATAATTTTAGCTTAGCCTATACAGTTCGTTATACATTAAATGCTCATGCGTAAATGTATTATGCGAATGCGCACATGCATGCGTAAAGGTTTTACGCGCATGCATGAACGCATTATGCGTTGACACATGCGCAGAAAGTTTGTAGCTTTGAGGTCCGGATTATAGATCATTCCAGATTATATGGGTGTCCAGATTAACGACTTTTGACTGTATAATGTATGTTTATATACATTGTGACCGCAAAAGTCCACAACTCTGCTCAATTATTTTAATCATAGGTTGTACACCTGTACCTCCAATGTTGAAAGAATTTTAATGCAAGTAATTTAAGGAAAATAACTAACGTATTTCTGTTTTAGAATTATGTAAAAATCAGCCCTATGTAAAATTCTATGTAAAATTTTGCCCCCCTTTCATTTTTCTTCTTTCATTCCTTTTTCCCACTTGGTACTTGTATTTATAAAGTATAAAGCTCCCTTTATCCATGCGAAGTTATTTAATAGAATATAAAGCTGATTTTTGCATAATGTTTTTTATTTGACGTGAAAGTTATCATTCTGTCATGTAACTTATTTTTGTTCAACTAGAAATAAACATTTTTTATTAATTGAAAATAATAAAAATATTGAACTTTTTGTACTTGTGATTTGTAATAGATGGGTAATTTTTTAAAAATTCTAAATTTAAAAAGATTGCTGTGTGCACGGGAAGAATAAAAGTCTCTCATGTACATTAAAATCTATTTTCACTTAAAAAAAAAAAAAAAAAAAAAATAGCTGCAGTAAGATAGCTACCCCGCAAACAGGGTTGCCAGATTTGGCATGAAATCACTCGTTTGGTGATATGTCATGGACAAATGGAGAACCTTCTAGAACGAATTCTTATCAGCTTGGGTCAGAATGCTCTCGAAGGCAGCCCAAAAGCTATATAAACCCTGCTTGCACATGGTGTATTAGTCAGTGAATCAGTGTCTCATCTATTGAGGGCTCGTAGTCCAGCGAATTGATCATCAGTCTTGTGCCGAGGTGTCTTGTCAGTGTATCGCGAGTTGGTGCACCGTTGAGTCAATCGAGTGTATCGTCAAGTGCTTTGCGAGTTGTAGCGTGAAGAGTCTTGAAAGTACATTGAATTCCGAGAATGACCGAACCAAGTTGGGATCTGTACTCTGGTGCTTTGCCATGAAGCTGTCTTCACCATGATAGCCTGAAGGCTGTGATGCTGATTGTGTGAACATATTTGTCATAGTTTTTTCAATGACTATAAATGTGCTTTTGGAGCTGTCCCGAATAATACTGGCAAATAAATTGTGTTTTGATACTTCGTGAAGTGTCATTGTTAATCACTCTAAATCGCACAAACTCGTACAGAAATTCAACAGTATTATATGTTACTGTTATTACTACTGTTACAAGTGTACCAAATCTGGCACTTAATTATCCAATTTTTGAGCCATTTTCTTACTCAGGTGGCTACATTAACAAGGTACCCAAAAATGCTTATCAATTTTTTAAATTAGCATTTTTAATTTAGCATAGATACTTAGCAAGGAAACTGACATAGTTCAGGAACTGAAAATTTAGGGGGTGGGGAACAAGTTTTTAAAAGTCTTAAGAAAGTTGTAATTGAAATAGTTAATATTTGAAAAATCAAAGCTAAAAATTAGCTTACATTGTATAAAGTAGAAATTCAAAATTACATTCAGTGAAGGTTGAAAATAATGAGTTACTAGAACTGGGCCCAGTCTGAGTTAAGTGCTTATATTTTGAAATCAGTTACCCTCTGGTTGTTGATTTTGCAGGTAAATTTTATGATGCTCATCCATATAAAAAATATTAAATATGCATTTATTTTGCATTTAAACAAATTAAAAAGCTTTTTTTTTTAATTGCACTTTATTCCAACCCCAAACAGGGATACAGTGGAAGACTAAAATGTCAGTAGATGTCAGTAGTAAAATGGGGATTCCTTTGACTTTTGCAAGATTTGTATATTATTGGCAATAGATTTTTTTCTTTATTTTTTAAACAAGCTACCATATTCTGTTGATTATCCCTTTTATAACAATCTCAAAATAAATATTTTACAAGACATGTGTAAACATTTTTATATAGTTGGAGATAAGATTAATCAAGCAAGATTGCTGTAATTGAAATTTTATTATTTTTGTGTTAATAGGACAGCAGCCAAAATGTATGTGAGTATGCTAAATATCACACCACAAACCTTGCCAAATCTGGTGATTCAGCACGTCTTCTTAATGAGATTTTAATTAAGTAAGCAAAGGTAAAGGTAAAAGTATGGGGGACACCAGCGATGTACCATAGGTCAACTGGTAATGCCTTCCCATACTAACTCTTTGAGAGAAAAAAAAAGGGGGGTAATTGCAAGTTTTATAAGAATTTGCATAGACTGAAGCTTTTCAAAAGGTCTAAAGTTTGCCTATTATGGTACATCGTGCAATTCCACAGTACGCCCCGCATCCAGTATTTATTAAAAATAATGGTGTAGGGCATAAGTAGATTACAAAATAGTAGGAATACAATTTGAGATTCACAAGATAAATTGAACATCTGATTTGGTGCCACAAAAATATAAGATAAACATAATTAATACACAAATAAACATAATGAGATAATTATAATTAGTACTGGCAACACAATGTTAAATGAATTGTTATAATAATGCTAAAGAGGTAGGTGTCCATGGGTTATTTCAGATATATTGGTTTATTGCAGTTTATAAAGTTCACGAGCAGATCCATTTTGTCCATAATCACAGCATGTAAAAGTTCACTAAGTTTAAACTGTATGTGGACTTACACTTGACAGAGATCTAGGCCGTAGGAAGAGAGTCGTTGCATAATTTTCTGAAACTTTGGATATTGATGTTTATCTTTAATTAAAAATCTTTGAAATGCCAGGAGGTCAATTCTTGGGGATTTTATGTGAATATCCTCAGTTAAGGGGCATGAGAAAACGTAGTGATCAGGAGTTCCCTGTTCCCCACATATGCACATGTCAGAATTTTGCCAAATTCTCTTGCATAGAAATATGTGGGGAAGGGTCCATGTCCTGTTATAAAGTAATTTAGGGAAGGATTCGAGTTCAGAGATGCTAAGCTTACATTGGGCATTAAGTTATCTGTGCGTCTTCCCTGTGGAGCATTGTTCCACAAATCTTGCCAAGATTTTGAAGCAAGTTGTTTTAGTTCGTACTTGAAATTTGAGCGAGGCCACGGAATGATGATTTCAGTACCATCTTGATTAATAGCTGCTTCTTTGGCTAGTTCATCTGCCTGATCATTACCAAAATGGCCACTATGTCCTTTGATCCATGAAATTTGAATTTTGTAGTTTCGGATTTTTCCAAGAAGAGAATTTATGTCGGATATCAATGGAGAGGAAGGTAAGGAATTTTTAATAGCTAGAATAGCTGCTTGGCAGTCAGATTTTATGCTAAATTCGTTGAGATTTTTGAGAATGGCTATTTCAATCGCTGCTTTTATAGCTGACAATTCCGCTTGGAAAACACTATTATTATTATGGAGATGGCCTTTCCATTTGATGATATTTGAGGGGGTAATTTGAAAAAAGACTGCGGAACCAACTTTTCCTTCAATTTTTGATCCATCAGTATAAGCAATTGGAGATGAACTTGAATTTTCTTCAGACGTGGGGAATATTATTTTGCTGAAGCGAAGCGCTGGATGGATAAGATTGGGGTTAATTTTCTTTTCATAGTTGGATGGCCAAAAGGTTTGGTTGTTGAATTCTGCGGCTTGGTTAAGTTGGAGAACTTTCATATAGATTCATTCCATTTCTGCACTGATTGATAACGGAAGAGTACCAGCTAGGGTATCAAGTGCTATATTTGAAGTTGTGCGATATGCCTGAGTAATGCAAAGAGTAAAAGGCCTTTGAATTGAATTTAAACATTTCATCTTTCTTACTGTCATTGGTTGTGCCCAAATTCCGGCTTCGTAATTTACCATTTTTGAGATGACTGTTTTTAGAAGAATATGTGTTATATGGGGATTTAAGCCCCAGTTATATCCATGCATACGTCGTAGGCAGTTAGCTATTGAGTTGTACGAAGTTTAATATTTTGCAGATGAGGAATCGAGGAGAATTTCTTGTCGATTGTTAAACCGAGGTACTTGATTGTGTTCACAGATTTGATCTTTTGATTGTCAATTTTTAAAGCTTTAGTTATATTTTGTCCTGGTTTATGGATCACTAAGACTTGGGACTTACTATGTGAAATTTGTAGTTTTTGAATTTTGCAAAGTTGGTTAAATAACTGGAGTGTTTCGTTGCAATTATTCTGTAAAATGTCTCTGGTATGGCGTCTTGTAATAAAAGCTACATCATCTGCAAAAGCTACAATTTTTGAGTGATCTGGCCATGGATAGGCAATGATGTTGTTGAAGCTGAGATTCTAGAGATCTGCACTCATGCAAGACCCCTGAGGACATCCTCGGACTTAATTACATACAATTTCAGTGTTGTTGTAAAGAATCATACTTTTCCTGTTTCTGAACAAGATTAAGTAAGCAAAATGAATTTTGCAATTTGGCATTTACCAAATGGGGAAATGTCTGACATTAAATTCTTTTATAAAATGAATTATCCATACTGAAATGCTTTGTTCAGTTAATCATTACTAGGCTGTTTTAAATACTGGAATTATTCATTTTTTACACTGTTTCTTCTAACAAGACTTGAAGTTTTGTAAAGTATGTCTTATCAAAAAAGTGTCATTGGAACAAGTGTCTGAATTTGGCAGATTAAAAATTGTAGCTTGCAGAAATTGCAGATTATCCTTCCAAGAAACTGGTGCTCATTTTGGCTGAAATTAAGTCACAGTGATGGGAATATGGAATTGTTGGATGCAGAAGAGATGAACCAATTTCTTCATTTCAAATTAGAGGAGGGCATGTACGTATGCATAGCAGTGATGGATCATATAACAGTATAAAGAAGCAGTGAAAGAATTAAGGTTACTAAACATCTTGTATTAGTTCATTCCATTCGACTTTGTAGGTAGAAGAATCTTTACAAGGCATCTATTGCTGCAATAACCAAACTCTACACCACAGGCATATGCGGCAGCAGTTGTGTGTAGAATGCTGTCTATGAATATAAGCGAATGGCATGGCATTGTTTTCTCTGATGAATTTGATTTTGCCTATAACATTACTTTAATCATACGAGTCTCATAATATATTAATGACAGCATAACCTTACATTATGCATTGCATCAGATCTGTCATCTGGAGCCGTAGTTTGGAATTTATTTGATTTTACTTCAGCATCTGTTTAATATGTTTTTCCAGCTCATTCAAGACCTTTCACTACATCACTGATGTTTTGAAACATATTATCCTCTCTCACCTTCAAAACTTGCCTGTGGCTAAGTTTTAAGAGGACATTTCAGACTCGCATGTGACATGCAAGTTTCAACAACTCTATTTCCCATTAGGTTGCACTGCTTTGTTAGTCTGCCCATTCTCCCAACATACTTATCATTGAGCAAAACTAGCCACTAAACATTGCATTTAAAGTAAGCCGACATATGCTGAGTCTATGTTGATGAAGTTAGATTGACATTGAGTCTATGTTAGATGAACTTGGGCAACATGGAAGCATCATGGACACACATAACTCCAGGCATGCATTTATAGCCTCATTCTTTCAGTGCAAAGGCACAGCAATTGTCAACCATTACTGCTATACAAAGTACTGATTTCTTTATGTAAGTAGAAGAGGGCAATAATTTCAATCATTTCATCCATGTTTGTCCTATAAATATGGCTTGCATATCTCTTATTCTTCATAGTTTTACATTTTGAATGGTCAGTTGTATTCGAGGCAGCAGTGGGACTTGAATATTTAGTTAAAATTGCCATTTCTTTTACATCTACGTTTCATATAAACATTTATGCTTTGCAATTACTAAAAATTTTGGGGGGCCTAAAACTCAAAATATTACTTTTTGATCATATTATAATAATAAATTCTAAATGAATAATGAATTTAGATAATAGTAAATGGAATAATATTTTTGTATAATTTCAAAGGTAGGACTCAAATAAGAACGTCCTAAAATTTTAATGCAAAGTATTCTAAATGGATGTTTGGAAAAAGTAACAAATCTTTTCATTTTAATTTTTCTAATTTTTTTAGTCTGTTTTATTTTATCACCTAAAATCCACATTACCTCAGGTCCAAGGTGTGTAGAATTTTAATTTTCTGTTGCATATGTAATTTGGGAGAAGAAATATAGCAAGAGCAAATATAAAAGTATCAGCAAATTTTGTGAAACTTCTTTAAACAATAATATTTCCATTTCTTATCTCGGATTAAAAATACATATTAGCCTCAGTCAAAGAGATATCTTAACTTTACTAAATCAGAAATAAAGTTACTTGAATAGAATGTAATAAAAATAACTGGGAAATTCTTGACGACTATGAAATATTTAGAGGGCACCAATAAAAACTTCCAGAACTTTAATTAATTATATAAATGACTGTTAAATTTGAAATAGTTTTTATAAAGGATAAAATATTTCATTACCTGTTATTGTTATCTGTATGAGATTTTTCATCTCAAATAAGGTCAATTTAAGTATGATATATTTTTATTTTTCACATAGTCTAATGATATTTATGCATCCCATTTCTTGTTGCAAAAATAATTAATGTTGTTCTAGTTTTTTAATTTGATTGAAAATATGAAAACTAAACATACTGTTTTCAAATTATATGCATTAAATCATTAAAGATATTGTTATATCTTTATTTTTCCACATTCAGTTAGGGAGCAAGCTGTAGTGATGTTTCCATATAAAGCACTCAATGAAGATGAACTGACACTAAAAGAGGGAGATATAATAACTGTCATATCAAAAGAAATAGAAGATAAAGGATGGTGGAAAGGGGAATTAAATAACAGAGTTGGTGTATTTCCTGACAATTTTGTCAAACTTCTAAAAGTAGAAGAAGTATGTAGTCAGAAACTATTTAATTAAGATGTTTATCAAAATTAGATATTATATTTTTATCAAAATTAGATATTATGTTTATCAAAATTAGATATTGTTTTATGTAAGTCATGTAAATCTTTATTCATCATCTTATTAATATAATAAGTAAAATTTGTTGGATGTATTTGTGTTTAACTTTTGTATAGTAAATGTATGCAGAGATAGTACTAAAACCCAATACAGTACAAAGTCCGTAATCCGGGACGTCCATTATCCAGAATGATCTATAATCCGGACCTCAAAGCCACAAACTTTTTTTTTTGTATGCTTTACGCATGCGCGTAAAGGATGCGCATACATTACGTGTAATGTATGTTTTACACATGCGCGCATTGAAAGAAATGTTTAATAAAGTAAACAAATAAATATTAAGTTTTTTTTGTAAAATTTGATACCCTTTAGATCATAATTGCTCTTTATTTCATAAATTATGATTTCATATTTTTAGTTCTATAATTTCTGCATGCCATCTTACCAGATTTAAATTGGTGATCTATAATCCGGAATCGCCGAAGTCCCAACGAGTCTGGTTTACGGACTTTGTACTGTACTTGTTTTAGTTACTTTTATGTTAAAATACCTGTTATGGGGGGGAGGGCAAGCAGAAATCCATAGGAAAAAAATACCAATCTGGAAACACAGGTATAATAAGTGTTATAAAAAATAAGTAATAAAAAAGTAAAATAAAATATAACAAAATCACATTTAATTTATGAAAAACAATTTTCATTTACATTTAATTCTTGGATATTGATGCTGTTGGTTGTAAATCTACAGTTGTATTAGTTTTTTCATTCCTGTACAGGGATGCCACACAAATTCTGCTGAGTACTAATCAAGCTAATGCTGAGTTAAACACAGTATTCATTGCTTACCAATTTATCTTTGCTCGCATTTTCATTATATGGGATCCCCTCTTTTTTTCTGGCCAAGAAACAAAATGTTAATTAAGCATCAAAAGTGAAAATAAACATAAAAATGGCTCAAAATCTCCAGAAATTATTTCAAAGAAGGTAAAATGTGAAAAAAAAAAGTGCTTATGAAAATTTGTCAAACTGAAGATAATTCCTTTTTCCTTTCTTCACAGTATGTTAGAATGTATTGTATTAGATGTATAGTTAATTTGAATGTAGTGAATTAGACTTTCTAAACTTCTATTGCATAAAATTTGAAGTGATCTTTATTTAAAACTTTTTATTAAAGTTCGCGTTTTCAAGATTATCTAATCCACTTAAAATAAAATTCCTTTCTTCATCGTCAAAGACTCTTTAGTTGTCTTTTCTGTAACAAAATAGCTTATTTTTAATATGCATTTTAAAAAAAATATTTCTTACTACAAATCTCCCTGATAGCTTTTCATGATGAACATAGCATATGAATAGCATTCAGTATGTGAATATATAATGTTTTGCATGTAGAGCAGTGAGAATTTTCTGAGTGAAAATTTATATATAATGAACTGTCACATAACAATAATACCTAAACCCAAAGACTGAAAATTACTCATGCAGGTTGGTTTATGTGATTATGGCAAAGCACCGAGAGCTATCTGCCTAAGGGGAGGGATGCCTTCGTGGAGCACTTTCAAAAGGAAATTGGCTCGTATACATGCTATACATTATCCTAGTATGAGGGAATAACACTAATATGCAATGATTGGGATATCAGAAGGTAGATCAGAACTGTGAATAAAATCAATTGTGGTGTCTTTCTTTCATTTTTCTCTCAGTCTTTTGAAGCGAATTCTCTTCCATTTTTCTATCAGACTTTTGAAGCAGTTTCAAAAGAGGTAGAAATAATTCAGAATTGTTTCATGTTCACTTAAAAATTTCTGTCTTGTGAGACACTGAGGCACTGTCTTTTTGAAAATTGTAGCACTGCGGGAAAGTAGGATCATGAATTTCTCAACATAATTTTGATGGCAACTAGTTTGACCCTTAAAGCTTTCTCGGGCATTTTTTTTTTTTTTTTTTTGTTTTGTTTTTTGTATGTGTGAGGGTATCTAGTCATATTGATGTTGAATATCAAATGCGCCTATAGCCAATACTGATGGTATTTGCTAGACATGCATAAGCACCCATAGCACTCAAAGGGCTAATTAGATTTACTGTATTAAAATATATATATATATGTGTGAGTTGCTCATAAGAACTTGAAAATATGAAGTAATTGTTTTCGTTTACATTTATGAAATGCATAATGCAATTTAATGGGATTTTTGCATTTGTTTGTTGTTTGAAAGTTGTTAGGTAATTGGTTCCAGTTCTATAACTCCTAGTGTAAGTTGATCTTCTAAGTGAATAACAGTTATCTGTGATCTTAAATGACTTAGTGTAATGCAGTACAAAGTCCGAAATCTGGACTTCCATTATCCGGAATGATCTCAAATCCGGATCTGAACACCACCAATGTTTTCTCGTAGGCTTTATGCATGCGCATTTGATTTCCCCCTCTGTTCATAATAAAACATTTGGAGAGTCCCAATTCTTATTTTCACTTTGACACTAAATAAAATACCTTGTTATTGAAAAAGCAATTATTTTAGCAAAATACCTTGTTATTGAAAAAGCAATCATTTTAGCATAAATTTGTATGATCAGTAATTTGGCTCCATTGCTGCGTATCTGCTTGGCATACATCTCAAACCGAAACAATTTCACATAGATACATTTTTGATCTGATGCCAACCTCGCGAATCACTATTTGTTATATTGCATGTTTATCAAAATATGACAACTTGAGTAATGAGTCATGTAGCAATGCCTAAGCATTTTTTTTTATGTTAGTAATTGAATAATAAAGGAGTGTGGTAACCTTTTATGTTGACATTACGTTTGGCGATGATTACAGATTTAAGTTCAATGCGCTAAAAAATATTGACGGGAAAAATTTACCAAATTTTTTTCCTATATGCTAAAACTCGATTCCTGTTTGATGATGCTCATAGACCCAACGATTACATTTAGGATTATTTAAATTAAGAATAACTGATTTGTTATTCACATAAACCCAGAACCAGCGCCAGGGCTCATATGGCTGCATCAAGTTGCAGAACTTAGGACCCACAGAGACTGCATCAGGCGGTAAGATATCTAGCGCCAGCCCTCAATAAGGCTTAAGTATATGGTGGGAATTTATTTATTCAAAACTCTGATAAGCAAGAATTAGACATAAATAGAATAAATAATTAAACTAATACAATTCAGGTTTAATTGTCTCAGTGCGCGATAGAAGCAAGATAAAATTTAACAGAACAACTTGTCGTTAGTCGCCAAGCTCATGATGCATAGCCAAATATGTATAGTGAAGTATAGCTAAACTTGATGATGATAGCAGCTAATTTTAAAGGTTTTCAGATATCACAACAAAGGTGAAATTTTCCAATTAACAGATTTTATAAAGAAATGGGGAGAAGCGATAATAAATGAAGATGATATAAGAAGTCTTTCACTGTGATGGCAATGCTTCTCAATACTCAGTCAATGAATGAATGGCGAAATCTGTAGTTTGGCTCTAGATCCAGAAGACAGTAACAGAGAAGTTACTGAAAACAAAAAAATTTCAATTGACAAGTTAGTCGGATTGCAGTTACAGGACTTCAACAATGTAACTGAAACAAGAGATTATGTCTGTCTACAGAATTAAAAAGAAAGTATTATCACAAAAAACAAAGCAACTTAAACAACTTACATTGAACGAAATGTTTAAAAAGGTAAACAAATAAATATTAAGCTTTGTTTTGTAAATTTTGATACCTCTTTAGATCATAAATATTTCATTGATTTCATAAATCACTATTCCATATTTTTAATTTTATAATTTCTACGTGCCATCTTACTAGATTTAAACTGATGATCTAATATCTGGAAAAATCCCAAATCCGGAATCGTCAAAGTCCCAATGAGTCCAGATCTTGGATTTTGCACTGTCTTTAATATTGCATTGAACACATTTGTTCATGTTGTAATTAATCGTAATATAACCATGGAGTTTGCCCATTTTTATTTTTATTACATTAGAATGCACATGGATGTTTTGACTGTTCTCAGTCTTCGACGAGTCCGGATTTCGGACTTTGTACTGTATATATGAAAATGTTGATTTATAACAATAAGAACAAATTATTTTTTCTAAAATAAGTATTACAAGCAAACTGAGGGATTAGCTATGAGAAGAACTCTCTGTCCCATCCTGGATGATATCTACATGCATTATTTTGAATCAAAATTATTTGAAACTTTTAACTTCCTGGTATGGCTCTGCTATGTAGATGATACTTTTACCCTGTTTGATGGTAATAAATATTATTCAAGTAAAGTTCTTTCAACAATGAATTTCATCGATCCTGCTATTCAGTTCACTTTTGAACTTGAGACATGCAATGCTCTTTCTTTCCTCAATCTGTTGGTCACACATAACACATCCAACTTCAGTACTGCGGTTTACAGTAAACCTTCATCAGTTTGCCTTCCACCACACTTCAGATCATGTCATCCAACTAAACAAAAGTTAGCTTCATTTTATTCCTATGTGTTCTGTGCTCTTCAAGTTTGCTCCTCCAAATTGTCTCTTGATCAAGAACTAAATTGTTTAAAAGCAGTAGCTATTAACTGGCTTTTCACCCAAAGTTATTAATCAGGCAGTTAAAAAATTCTCATCTCAACACATGAAAAGTCACACTCTTGTTTTAGGAGATAATAAGAATTCTGTTGTCATTCCTTTCTTTCCATCAGTTAGCTATAAAATTGCACATATTTACAGAAATTTAACTTTCAGGTTTTTTATTCTCCTAAAATTCCGAGTTCCTTAGTAAAGGACCTCATTTCAGATATGAATTCCTGGGGTATTTACAGGATTTGTTGCCATTGTGGTTTAATTTACATTGGTCAGGCTAAGATAGCCTTAAAATATTCCGTTAAGTAACACGAGGCATATGGTAGAAAAAAGGAAACACAGAA